TCATTTCGTGAAGGCCGAGTCAGGAAAATTCATCATGGAAAATTCATCGAGGGGGAATTCATCGTGGGGTAAAATTCATCGTGGGGTAAAAATCATCGTGGGGTAAAAATCATCGTGGGGCTAATTTGAAGTTACAGTTTTTGCAATTACACACTTCATGAAGGTTGTACATTATAAATACATAGTATATATATATATATATATATAATAGTATATATATATATATAATAGTATATATATATATATATATATATAATATAGTTAATTTAGGTGGTGATTCGTCGGTAAAACGAAATCTTGATGGCCACGTAGTTGACAATTGAGGCAGGCGTATCGAGCGGTCCGGCCAATATTAGTGCCGACCTTTTTCTGTAGACCTTCTCGAAGAGGGTTGGTTCGATCGCGAGCCGAGCAAGCGCAATTATAGCTTGAAATTTATTCGAATTCAAGTAGAAATTTGTCGAAATTAATTGAAAGGAGTCGAAATGTGAATTATTTTCGAACGTTCATTAGTAGATTGAACGACAGTATTGACGAAGGTCAGAAATCAAACACCAACAACTGTACAAGTTTAAATTGATAAATTAATTAATTAAGCCGAATAATGAATCAATTTCGGCAATTAAATGATAAATTAGGCCGAATAGTGAATAGATTTTGGCATTTTAACGGTTAAACGATAGTTAGCAATTAGTATTATACAGCATGATAGGGATTGGACATACCGCAGCTGGTCACCCACAACTATTATCGATAAATAATCTAAGTAAATGAATTCGGGTTCGATTTTGATTACTAATTAATTAAATTAACAAAATATCCCAATATATATTTTATTCTATTTAAATAGATTATGGTTTAATTGAGATACACAAAACTACAAAATCAACTATCTATCGATTTAATTAATTCAATTATCCATCCATCTATGTATCCATCAATCTATCTACAAATCATCCATTTTCTCCATCTATCAGTTTACTAATTTCCTAACAACAACAACAACAACAACAACAATAATAACGACAACAACAACAACAACTACTACTACTACTTCTACTTCTACTACTGCTACTACTACAGCTGCTGCTGCTACTACTACTACCACGGCTGCTGCTACTGCTACTACTACCACTACTACTACTACTGCTGCTGCTGCTGCTACTACTACTACTGCTGCTGCTGCTACTACTACTACTACTACTACTACAATGATTGAATTTTTTCATAACAAAGGGATTGCCCAAGCTAAAATATGTAACTTGTGATTTTTATAATTCTGAAAATCAATCTAAAATGAAGGATTGTTTGTCGTTGTTGTATTTTAACGACGCATATGAGGTCCTCTAGCCATCGAGGTGATGATTTCACCATGATGATTTAATCTTCTTCGTAGTATAATTTGCGTTCGGCCATCCAAATTTATTATAATAAAACTTTAATAATAATAATAATTTAAATATAAAAATTTATAATTATTTATAATTTATAATTATAATAAAAATTTATTATGATAAAACTTTAAATCTGTCAATCAACTCCAGCTCTAGCAACAATGAAATCACCTCTTCCAGATTGCTCTACATTTAACTGGAGAATTAATTTTCTTCCTATTCCAGATGAATTAATCACTTCAAAAAGAAAAAAAAGAAAATTAAAAGAAGAAATCTGAAATTAGACAACTAACTAAAATTGAATTATCGTTTTTTTCGCAGTTTAATAGCGTTTTAGCACGAAGAAGCTATCTTGTGGACATCACAGTACTGGTTTTGTGACTAAAATTGAAATATCAATCTTTAGTAGTTAGTAATAACATCACAATAACATTGAAATTTCAATATCTAATAGGTAGTACAACATCACACACGTATGTATGCTTGAGTGTGTGTTTGTTCTTGAACGACTTCAGTTTGTTTGTAAGTGTCTGGAGAAAAAGAAAACTGAACTGCCATCTAGCGCTCGCAGTTTCAAAACTTCTAGAAAGTTAATCTAAAACTTCTGAAAGGAATTCGATTGGAAGAAATTTGGAAAATAGTTTTTTTTTTTAAGAATTTTCACAATCATTTTTTTGTCGCTATAGCATGTTCGTTACACGGATTCAACTTTTAATTGGAGAAAATGGATGGGTGAATTAATGGATGGGTGAATGAATGAATGAATGAATGGATAGATGAATGAATGAATGAATGGATAAATGAATGAACGAATCAATCGAGCAATCAATCAATCAATTAGCTTGTAAAGCCGAACGAGCAAACGAATCAAATGAATATTTAATAAACAATAAAAAATAAAACCGTTTTTTTGGAATGTTTTTTTAACAAAACTCTTCAGAGAAAAAAAATTTTTAATACTGCATTCTTGTTATAATTTTTCTCTGTATAAAATTAATACTGTTGTAAGAATCCCGGTTTCTTTGACATAAACAAAATGTAATAGTCTTACTAGTAGTAGTAGTAGTAGTAGTAATAGTAGTATTAGTATTAGTAGTAGTAGTAGT